CCTCGGCATTCCCCCGGAGGAGCTGGAGGAAGTGTCTGGAGAGAGGGAAGTCTGGGCATCTTTGCTTAGACTGCTGCCCCCGCGACCCGGTCCCGGATAAGCAGAGGAAAATGGATGGATGGATGGATACACATGTACAGTTCCAGACAATGACAGGGAGATGAAAACAAAGACAGACAGCAAGACAGACATCCAAGAGTCTCTGGCTACAGTGGGGTGAATCAAAACTGGGAAATGTTCCTGTCATACAACCCTACTACCTGCAGTTTTTTCAGAGAGATAAACAGATAGGCAAGCTGAGGGAATAGAAAATGGAAAAAACATTTAACTGATAAAAAATATCAACTACACAAAAAAAAAAATCAGGATAAATAGCGAGAGTAAGTGACAATCAAATGGTGGTGGATGTGGACATATGAATATATATGGAAAAAGATGATTAATTGAGGTCTACTGTATCTTAATTCTCACACCTGCAGTGGTCTGAGACACAGATATACCCAGTACGACAGTGATGACGAGGCTCAGCACCAGCGCTGTCAGACACCACATAGTGCTGCTGACAGTCGATATCTGATGCTCTATAATTTATGTTTTCCGCATTCTTATTGTTGACATGTCATTGTTCTAATTTTATTGAACAAAGCACAAAAGACAACGAATGAGGAGAAACAAACAGAGATACACAGATAGCTGAGGGATGAAGGTGAAGACTCAAAGATATTTGGATTCATTTCAGACAATAAATGGTACTTAGAGGGATACAGTGGAGGCTAAACTCAGTTAATCTCCTTATATTTTTATATAATTTAATTGATAGAATTCACTTATTTTATGATTTCAAACCTTGACATTCCAAGTCAAAGTCATATTAATATAAGCTACATAAGGTTTTTTTCCTTATGTAAGAAACAACAATAGCTGTTTATTGTCAAGCCTCTTGCTTTCTATCTTGACATGACTCAATGCTACACCTGAAAACTGATATGAAAGGGAAGTTCATCTAAATCTGTCTGACTTCAGCAACAGCATAAATTTACAATTTGAAACCTAGCTGATCCATTAAGCTTTCATATTCATTTTCTGGTACTTCAAAATCAACTTGAAAAGGGGTGAAGTGATACCTGATGATGGCTTGTTTGTTGGGGTCATACAGGGACATGAAGAGCTCTGAATCCTCCCCAATGCGACAGACAAAGTTCCTAACAAAAACATAGAGGCTGTGGGTGGGGGATGACTGGATCCGTGCTGAGATCCCACTGTGGTCTGTCTGGATGTTGGACTGCAGGAGAGGACATAAATTTAGGAGGTTAACTTTGGACTAGCATGTAATAGGATAAATTGCCAACCAAAAGCCTTGCTATCAAGCTTCTGACAAATCTGCTTGGTTGGTTGGTCAATTATACTTTCTTATTTCTTACCAAAATCATTTTGGCTTCTCTTCACTGGTTGCCGGTGTATTTTAGAATCCATTTTAAAATTCTTTTATTTGTTTATAAGTCTTTAAATGGTTTGGCCCCCTCTTATCTTACAGAGTTGTTGCGTCCCTATAGTCCTTCTCGGTGCCTCAGATCAGCTGATCAGCTGCTTCTTGAGATACCGAGGGCTAGGTTGAGACTTAGGGGGGACAGGGCTTTTGCTGTGGGGGCTCCAAAGTTGTGGAATTCATTGCCCCTATATATTAGGCAGGCCCCCTCTTTGTCCGTTTTTAAAGTGTATTTGAAAACTCATCTGTACCTTTTGGCATTTGACTTGGTATGAGGCTTTGTTTTGCTGAGGATTTTTGTTTTATGATGGGTGGTTGTTTAATTGCAATTTTATTTTATTATTGTGTTTTGTGTTAAGCACTTTGGTCAGCTGTTGCTGTGTTAAATGTGCTATATAAATAAAGTTGATGATGATGATGATACTTTATTTAAAAAATGAAATGATAAAATCATGATTCCCACACATGCCTAAAAAACAGCCTAATCTAGTGCAGACAAATCACAAACCACAGCAATGTCAAAGACTTTGCCAAATAAAATCAGTTGCAATTGCGACCATAAACTCAGTCTCTGCCCCAAGAGACTTTTTCTGCAGCTCTCTCCCTCCTACATTCCGTCCTTTTTGCTCCCCACCACACTACTTTCTTATCTTTGTCTCTACCTGCTCCTCTTTGATGCGTTCATTAATCTTGGCTGTGGCCTCCTCGTGGGCCTGAAACAGACTGATGACACTAGCGCGCTCTGGATCCAAGATGTTTCCATTCTCATCTCGAACCACCTGGTCCAGCTCCAGGATCCTAGAGAAGGGAGGAGGAGAATGGGAGGTGGAATGTGAACATCAGATGGAAAGTGAACACAGGGGAAGGAGAGGAGGTGGAAATGCAGGAGAGAACAGGACATAGAGGTGATAGGAGGGGAGTGAGAGCAGCGATGAAAGAAAGATAAGGGGAGATAATAAACGGGTAGGCAAAATGGGTTTGGTCAGAAAGGTCAGCTTTGAACAGTGAACATATTAAAGTATGAAGAAGTAACTTTGTTTTGGAGCAAACATACTTGTTGCCATAGTCAATCTTGGAGGTGACTTTCTGCTTGAGCTCCTTGAATTCATCACTGGGCAGAGTGCCAGACAGGAGCTGGGAACGCCATTCCATTAGCTCCCACATCAGCCTCTGCACCTGCTTCACACGCACCTCTTTGTTTGCCTGGATCAGTACATGCACGGTGTTAGCATTCAGACACACACATCCTCATACACAATGAGTGTTTTTGCTGGTTTATTTCTTACCACAAAAAGCTGCTTCCATATGCTTCCCCATTCCCTCAGTGTGGTGGTCACCTCCTTCACCAAGGGCATCTCTGCAGACATCACCACCTCCTCATTTCTGTAGTCGCACACACATACAGGATAACATAACAAATCCCAGAGATGGAACTTCTGTAGCCAGATGAATATGTGTTCTTTTGTTCCACTCACCCTCGCTTTTCAACGATGACCTCCTTAAGATGGACAAAACTGGCAGGAAACACCCCCTGTAGAGAATCAGGTATTGGGGAGATGAATGAGAAAATAGGAGGGGAAACTCTATGATGGCTCAGACATTTTCTATCCACACAACAAGAACAGAAGATCTCCCAGTTGAATAAAGGTGGGAGAATGTCATACATCACTTTTCTGTTGAACACAATATGACGCACAGGCCCGTGAATAAAACGGGTGCGCTCTCACCTGATAGACCTTGTTCCTAACCAGGTAGCCTCTGTACCATCCTGAAAGACAAATTCACCCTCATGTCAATGTCCATTTATTTATAAAGCACGTTTAAAATCAACATCAGTTGGTCAAAGTGCTGTTCATTATAATACATAACATAAAACATCCATAAAAAAGAGAGAGAGACATATCCCTCAGACTTAAAAGCAACAATAGGATAGGAAGACCTTACTGTCATCTCACTGAAATGTAGAAGTGGGAAAACTGAACCTACAGGAAAAACTAGGACTGCATACATGTTTTAACTTCTAAAACAGTGATGCAATATTTGTATTCTACTGTCCAGTGGTGTTATTTGCCACAAATTGCAAATGAATATTTTTTCTATGAAATGATAAACAAGTGAAAACATTATGTGCAGCTAGCATCTTTAACTGAGAAAAAACTGTTTATGAAAATGAATTAGTAAGTACAGTGTACTAACTTACAGTATGTCAGCTTTCATGTGACATTTTTCATTTTAATTTTTATCGACACAGCTGGATTATAAAAGTCACATGGGTAACCTTACCATCACAGACCTCCTGGATGTGGACTGTGTCTCCTACCTCCAGGGAAAGCTGCTTCTCTCCTTTGCCAAGAAAATTCCACTTCACTAAAAGAGAAAATGTTATTCTGACAAGGAATGCATTTGTGAGAACATTGCTTCATATCAGTACTATAAAACATAGACACTGACTGAGCAGAGCCAAGTCCTCTATTGTATGTTATTAAAACAAGCAGTAAGTTGATTAGTGGTGATGTGCAGCAGTTCTTTTGTAACGTGGTAATAGTTGTCATTGGTGTCGAGCTGCCACTGGCGGAGAAATACTGTTCGCTACCATTAGTGCCTTACTGTAGAGGGCGGCTGCAGCGTTTACTTAGTGTGGTTAGGATGGTAGGGCAAGCTACTAAAGAGAGAAACACTTAGGAGCTCTTTATCTTTCAAAGAAAGAAAAAAAAACCCACTCGTAGCTTCAGCTGAAAATAGTTTAATATAAAAGCGGTTTGTGCCATGGAGACCACCTGTTATTGTTAACACCTCCTCTCTTTGTTTTTCCAGGTTTCTTTACGTCACAAAAGCTGTATTAACATGGATGACATAATAGGCTATTAGCAGGTCAGCTTGCTTAAAAAAGCATTTGCATTGTGAAGATTAGATTATTCATTTAAACTAGGCAGTGGAAAGAAAAGTGACATTAAGTTATTTAGATATTTTGATAAGCAATTAATAATCTTTAATCAAAGATGCCTTTCTTTGTCTTGTGTGAGAGCAGACGGCATATCTTTACGGTTCAGGCTCTTGCTGCTCAGATAAAACAACAGGAATATATCAATTCCCACTCCGGAAAATTGTTATGGGCATTTTTCATTATTTTCTGTCATTTCTTAGACCAAAGGATTAAGCTATTACTCCAAAAAAACTGTACTAATGAATATTGTCAGATGCAGCATTTCCAGATGTGCTATCTGTTAGCAGCAACATGGCAGAGTAGAAGAGTAGTCGCAACAAAATAACCTCAACCAACAGTGCTGCTCACTAAAATTTAAATGTTCAGTTTAAATATTCAAACTCTTTATAGATATTATGTTTGTTTGTTTTTAAATCCCTCTATACTCTGCAGTACAGCTTCAAACGTGTACAAACTTCATCCCTTCTTCCTCCACTTCCTGTGTTGTAGTCGTACGCAGACCAGGAAGACATTCAGTCGAGATACAGCCGATAAACAACAGTTCATTCAGTAATTATATTAGTAATTGATTCTAAATGCTTTTCAAATTAATTGTCAAGTTATAAGCAGTAGAACTACTGGGATGAAAAATGTTCTGCCTCATTTTCTACAATATAAGCTATTGTTTATGTATACAGCTGATAAATCAATGCATCGTCTACAACAGGCCAGTGATCCTCTGCTCTTCTGTATTAGTCAGAAACCTCCACTTTCGCTGAGTTTGTGTCTATTGTACACTGCATATCTAACAACAACACATGCTAATTAGCTCGCCCCTATTCAAACCACATATCAGATACTAAACTACAAATTTCAAAGTCTAGGATTTGCCATGCAATGTTTAGTGCATGGTGATTACCTATTCATTTCATCATAAGCTTAGGACAGATGATAAGTTTGCTTATTATAGTTTTCCCAAACAATCTATTGCAGCTCTTACATGAGTTTTGTTGCATTCAAGTTTAACATTGAAACAGGATTTCAGTTCTTTAGTTTCTCTGTAGAGATGTTAGCACCTGCTCACATCCTGTAAAGCAGGAAATGATGGGTGTCGATTTTGCTCCGTCATATTCACAGAATGAATTGTTTACCATCACCTAAACAGAGAAACACTAGAGCAACATGTATGTGCATGCGCACGCACCGACACATGCAAGTAAGCACGTACTAACTTACCTACACCATACCGCTCTGTGGTGGTCCTCGTCCAGGGAGCCATTTTTGCATGAGGTCCAACTTTCTACTTCGAGGCTTGGCTTTCTGACTTTCCTCCTATTTTCGCTCTCTCTCTCTCTCTCGTCTGCTGGTGTCTGCTAAACGTCTCACTTCTGCATTTTTTTTTACTTTAAACGAAAGCACTAAGCCCAACCCTCTTTGCCTCTCTTCCTCTTCTGTCTCTGCCTTCAGGCAGTTAAAGGGAAGTTGATGAGTACAAGGTGGAGTCCTGTACAGCCTGCAGGCCTGTGCATGGTGTGAAGTTTCCATTTTGCTCATTTGAGCTGAGTGGATCACTACATCTGTATTATAACTGAGTGTGAAACAGATGCAGAAAGCATTAAAAAGCAAAGATGTCTAAAATATGCAAAGTATGACTATCAATAGTCATCATTCACGCATTTACCTTCTTCTCTTTGTGCATCATCCTGCAGACCTGTGAAATGAAGTGTTTTAAATGGCTTCATGTTGTATACATTTACAGATAACCTCAGCTCAACCCTGTTTTGTCCTCCTTCTACTGTACAACAAGGAAAGTGAGGCTAGAAAAATCACAAAGATCAGAACTGACTGGGAAATACTATAGCAATGATACTTAGTATAAGCATTTTTCTTTCCAAAAATAACTATCAAATGATTATAACATGTTGCAAGAGGTTGATATGGAAGAAAAACCTAATGTATTCATATAAAATGTACCCAAGAACAGTAAATATGCTGCGCTGACATTTGATCGTCATATTATTTCTTGAACTGACAAAGAAGCAGTTATAATATAAAAGGCTGCTTTGTCACGTTGGCTCTGAACTAACGACAAACACACAACAAAGCTGATAGATTATCAGCCTTTAACTGTTACAGTGGGTAACAACACACATTAATATTAACTACCTCTAAAATGATTTAAAAAATGCACAATATTGGTTTGTACTTTCTTGGCTCCCATGTCTCATCACCACCATACTGCACTGTGTGTACAGCAGCTGGATATTTGTGCCACCCGTTGTGACCGTTGACAGTAGAGATACAGTTCTGACTTCTCAACTAATATCATTTGAAAATGGCCGACTAATGTACTGTAGGCATAATTGCAAAATGGCTCTTTAAAAAATGTAATTAAAGATTGAATCAATATCTCTGGTGGACGTTGCTCATAACATCATCTAAAAGACAATCATGGCAAGGCGTTCATGATTATTACCAAACGGCATGTTTGGTAATACTTGGTCAAGTAGGCCTTATTTAGGAACTAACCAGCTTTAAACTATGTCATAATACCTAAAGGTTATAAAATAACCAGCTGGAAATGCTGGTATCTGCTAGTAAATGTGCCACATGTCACAAGTATGAGGGCGATGAAAAAAGCATTACTTGCTAATTAAACAAGACATTTAAATCAGATAATGTTATGCCTGCTCCAAGCAAACTGTGCGATTTTAGCCTCATAAAGTATTATAGCATGGACATTAAACCAAATTACAAACTACAATTGGCATTTACTATAATTGGGTTAGTAAAATATAACTGATTTCAAATTCAGTATTGCATTTGACACTGATAATAAGTTGTAGAAGCTCGAGCTCTGGCATGTTTTGCATTAATTTTGTTTCTGCCCATTTTAGTTTTCATTGTTTTAAAAATCCATTTGCTACTTAACTAACTTAATATTTTTTATACTTAATATTTAATTTACCTTTTTTGTCATATGATATTGTTGTTGCCTATGACCAACACTGATTTCCCTTCAGATAATGTCATTACTTTGCAATTCCAAAAGAGGGTGTTAGATTACTAAACCATTTGTTTTGGTTTTTCTTTTATTCCCCTGGCTTTACCTCATCTCATCTTATTTTCTGAAGACATGGCATCTTTTTAACACACTGTTGACCTGGACTGGGAGCTATGGTTTAACTTCTGATAAAAATGGAATTTGAGGTACCAACTACCTTTTTCACAACAACAGTTTAAATAAATGCCCCTTTTCCTTACTCTGCCTTGCATGCGAATGCAGGCGCATCAAAGCCAAGACACACCCAACTATGGTCTAATCAACAAACAACACTGATATAGCCAAAAGACTCATGACAGCACTGCCTCATTCTTGAGAGAGCTAATCAGGTATCCCTCTCAAATATCAGCCAAGTACATATGGAGACTATGTTATGGAAATATGTGGAGAGACAGAGCTCAGCATACTATGGATTTAACAGTGGCAAAAAAGGCTTAGAGCTTAGAAACATTAACAAGTGGAAGTAGTTCTTAGAACAAAGTTACAGAATTTGTGTATGTTGTTAAAAACTAAGGGTGAGAGAAAAATAGAGAAAAATGAAAAAAGAAAGAGATAAGGACAGAAAAGATATGTTATCACATCGTTCTGGGCAATGGAACAAAACTGGAACCTTGTTGCTGTGACTCACAAGGAGAAAAAAGGGTGGAGCTTAAAGGTGTGTGGATAGAAAGAAAAAACAAAAAGCCAGCCAGAGATGAAGGCATAAAAAGAATAATCAGATGGCGAGGCAGTCTCTTAGAAATAAAAAACATAAAATGAGGCAAAAAGAGATTAAATTCAGCACCAAGACTGACGGATTAGACAGATAAGAAAAAGGGAGGCTAAAAAGTACAAAAGGTTTGAGAAGAGAAGTGATAAATGTTTTATGAATGTTCGCCTGAAGCCCAGAAGATAAACGGACACTGGAAGAGAAAGAGAAGCCACATGAGGAGCCAAAGCACATAAAAACACAGATCTAAAGGCTGAGTAAAAGCCTGCCCCAGAAATAGAATGATAGATTTAGAAATCTTTCTGACCTACTGGGTCATTGACATCACTCCAGTCCAACGGGTGCCAGTTCTCAGAGATTTACCCAAGAGCCATCCACTCATGAAACTCTAAAGACTCACTAAATTATTAAGCAATAAATCGTTTAGGGAGCATATGCACGTGCATGAGAGAAACATGAGCAATGATGCATGCATGAATACCAATCCTTCCTGTGTTTCTCTCCAAACCAGACTGATCTGCCAGAGACTCCATTATTTGGGTAGTACGACCAGTCTCCAAAGGGAACAGTTTAAGTAGAAGCAGCTTTATCGTGGCAGCTGGCACATACAAGTTAGGAGGCATGATAAGAGAACAGAGGACCTATTAAATTATGTCAAAGGAAAATTACTCTAATAAGCTAGAGAAGAATAACAGGAAGAAACTAAGAGTGAAAGAAAAGTGAGAGAAAGAGCCACTGTAGCTCCTGCTCTCTCTCTCTCTCTCTCTCTTATTCCCACACACACTTAAACAATCATTTGACACACAAACACATCGTGAGCAAGACTGTGGTTCTCTCTTCACTCAGGAAGCAGAGCAGAGTAGCAGGCGCAGTCGTCACAGAAGAGGAAAAGCAGCACTGAGGTAAGTTGGTAAATTCCTACTTTATGCTTGCTAGAATGCATCTAATATATCATAAATCTGAATGATGTGTGAGTGAAAACCAACTATGTTTGTGGGTTGGCAGTGTAATTAAGTTTGACTCAATGTTTGCTTTAGCCTGCAATGATTTACTGGTATGCATTCTCACAGCTAAACAAGAATATTACAGAAAAAAAAACATGAATGTACTGAAGTTCATTTAATATTTGTCAGATATTTAATAAGCCCTTCATTTAATTAACAACTCGGTCAATAAAAATACTGCGTACTTACACACTCCTAATAACTTGAAATCGCTTGTTCTTACTGACCTTTGGTGCGTCTTAGTTTTTCTGAGTCACAGTTTTAAGCATCTTCATGGAGGAAAGTAAAAGATACAGTGATGGTGTAGTGCTGCATGTGTGTGGTGAGCAAAAGGCGATCTCTGTCATAAAGAGACTCGGAGCATCATAAGTTCTTGTTCTGAATGTGTGTCAGCTCAGTTGTAGCTCATTTTTAAAATTGTGTTCCAACTTAAATTAGAAAAATTAGAATTGGCAGATTTGTGGCTGTGGAGATTTCAAGTGAGTCAGTCCTGAGCCTGGTGTGAGTATGTGAACTATGAGCAATGACAAGTGTGGCCAAAGGGGTCATTTAATCAGTCCTGAAAATGAGGAAGTGAGTTGTTTTTTTTTTCTTGGTGCATGTATGTCTGTGTGCGTGTGTGTGTGCGTGTGTGTGTGTGTGTGTGTGTGTGTGTGTGTGTGTGACAAGGGTAATTTATCTTTTACCTGTTGTTCCAATTTTACTTTAAATGGCAGTTCTACATTTGAACTTCAGATTTCCACTATCACACTGTAAAACAAACAGTACTCAGGTACACACATAAAAGGATCAATAGATATAGAAAAAGTTAGACAAAGAAAGAACAAACATGTCTGGCCCCAAAGGTCCAGAGAAACTACTAACTTCTTCCTCATTTCCTTATACTAAAACATAATAGGTCAAATATGAGTTGTTCATTATAATGAGAATAGCCTCACTGGCAATAAGGACTTCTTGCTTGCAGTCTTAAAATAACGATATCACTCAGTCATTCAATAAAATCTGTTCAACACTAAAATTAAAAATAACTTCTGATTATCTTTAGTCATAATTCACTAAATCCCTGCTTCTTTGTTTCATATTCACATCTGAAAATATAAAAAATGATCATTACTTCTTTTTCAGACTGAGCGATTATTTAAATATTGTGGCCTGATACTTTGGCACCATTTTCCTTGGCTTTTATGTTCATAGACATTTCTGTAGCTGGTACTCTTTATTTACATTGTGGCACTACTAATGCTAAGCACTTTGCTTGTCTTCTGAGAAGAATTATCTGATGTGATGGCAGCAATTCAAAGCTAAACAGACTTTCACTATAACCCCAAATCAGAAAAAGTTGGGATGGTATGCAAGATGTCGTCTTGAAGGCAGCATATGTTGCTTCAAAATCTCTATGTATTGTTCAGCATTAATGGAGCCATCACAGAAGTGACCTTTGCCAAGGGCACTGACACAACCCCAGACCATGACAGACCCTCGCTTTTGGACTTTTTACTGCTAACAGTCTGGATGGTCCTTTTTGCACATGGTGCCCATTCCTTCCACAAAAAGCCCTGAAATGGTGATTTGTCTGACCACAGTGCACGTTTCCACTGTGTGATGGTTCCGTCCCAGATGCCTCCAAGCTCAGAGCACTCGACTGCTGCTTCAGGACACTGTTGACATGGGGCATCCTTTTGGCACAGTACAGTTTTAAGTAGCATTTATAGATGTAACTACATATTGCAGTGCCTGACACAGGTGTACCAAAGTAATCCTGAGCCCATGTGGTTATATCGCTTATAGGAGAGTGACAATTCTTGATGCAGCGCCGTCTGAGAGATTGGAGAGCACAGTCATCTAGCTTAGGCTTGTACCCTTGCCCTTTAAGCACTGAAATTCCTTGAATCTTTTAATTATGCTATGCACCGTAGAGGGTGACATATCCAAATCCCTTGCTATCTTTCTTTGAGGAACATTGTTTTTAAACAGTTCAGTGATTTTCTCATGCAAACTGTTGGCAAACTGGCTGCTGTATTGTTTTCAATGTAATACAGGACACAGATGATTTACAGATCACTATTTTCACTTTTAATTTTGATTTTACATACTGTCCTAACATTTTCTGATCTGGGCTAGTACAATGAAAAGTTCCACATTATTGCTTACACAGCATAAACTAGGAGGGTTGACCCAGATTAGCAACATATCTCTGTACCGTCTGTGTCAGCTGAAAAAGCCACTAGACCACAGACAAGGTATCACAGCCCCAAGGTTTACTGTCTTACAAGCTGACGACAAGTGTAACTGCTAGTTATATGAAATGAAATTTGTTGATTCTTAGCATGTGCAAGTTTGTTTTCCCATATAAATGTCTCTGTATGTCTTCTTCAAAAGCCTTTTATTAAGTTGAAGTAGCCTTTACAAAAGCGTCATGTTGACATATCTGGGGTGTGTTAAGGTCAAGACTGACACACTGAGGGCAATCCACTACCCCTATGTGAGCTGCATTTATTTGTGTACATGTACCTAATTATGTGTGTGGCCACAGCAATGCATGCTGTTAGTGTCTATGCATATTTTATGTCTATCGATTGACCTGTCTGTCACTCAGTTTGTTTCGTTTTCATACTTCATCAAGAGACCACAGCTTCCTTACACTGGCCAAGGCATACAACCGTTACCAAGCAACTTCCCATCCTAGCCCACTTCCCTTTCTCTTGCCCTCTCTGTCGGGGTCGAAACATAAACAAAGACAGAGATGCACACGCACGTACACACACACACACACACACACAAACAGGCATCAGCACATTCCTAAAAATGCAGACAGCCATTTTGTTTTGCACAAGCAGAGGAAGTGAGTGAGCCAAGTATTTAGTACTAAATTGAATTACATTAGGATAAATGAAGCATTCAGAAGTCTGATTGCATTATGTTGACCTGATGGATGCTGCGTGCAGGGACAAGTGATTTTGGCCCATCATCTTAGGGCACTGCCTTACCATCTACCAACGCGTAAGTGGCACATACTGTATACCTTTGAGTTTTAACGGACTGAATGAATGAATGAATGAATGAGTGAATGAATTAATTGGTTGTTTCCTGTATTCATGGCTAGACTGTAGCACCCAGCTAAAAAAGTTCACTTCACAGTCTGCTGACATTTAAGAGATTTCCTCAGCACTGCAGTGACGTGAGACGGTAGAATGAACCGATTTCCTGACTATGTGTATGTCATATGTGACAATATGCATGATTACTTTGGTTATTCATTGGATTGAAGAAGAGGAGATACTCCTTATCCGTTTATTTCTAAAAAGACACATCTGGCTGGTAAAAAATAAATTAAAATAAAATTTAAAAAAGACTGCAGAATGAGCAGTTTTTATGTGGGCAATCTCACAATTCAGACGGCAAGTCCCAGCTGAGAGGTAATAACCTCATTACTCATCTCCGAGCTCAGACTGTGTGTGGTAAAGAGCCACTGATCCAAGTTCTTTTCTGCCCACCTTTCATCTCTATACCCAAATTGGGCTCTTTTCACCAGACCGTTTACTGAGTAAAAGAAGATCTAGATGGGGCAGAATGAAGCCTTTACAGCTCCTCCGTGCGTTTCATGTGTTTGAGGATGAGATATGAGGAGAGGAAGCTACAAGTTACTCACTGAATATTTCATCTTTGTTGTGTTCACCAGCCACTGGGTGTCACCTCATTTACACACAGACTAGACCTTGGATGAATGAACCCTTCAATCAGTGTCATCAAAGCCACAAACCCATACAACCCTTTGCTGTCTCTTGAAGACATGAAACAACATTCTCCATGCACAAAACCGCTGAAAGCAGAGCAGCCATCACATCCTGTGAAAACAAAGCACTCAGTAGTTATTACAGTCCATTACGGTCCTCAAAATCCATTTCCAAGATATGTTTTGGATTGCATGTACGTGTGTCCATGCATGCCTATGTGCATATGTGTGCAAGTCTGTGTGTCTGTAATTATATATACAGATGTAGTAACACACTCACCATTGCTTTCCATTAAGGATGACTAAAGAGATGTTTGTGAAAGACAACACATGGTCAGTAATAAAGTAGCACACTGTCTAAATGAGTGATGCTCCGTTTACTGTAAGTGTATAACAAACTTGTCAACATTAAGACTACTGTAACTGCAGGCTACAAAGGCACACAGTGACTTGGCATTAATAAAATAAAAATGCACACAAGTCATTTGAATCTTACTTGTGCTAACTACTGTAAGCCTTATGCTTGCTTGTGATAAGTGAATGGCCATGATTATATATTAATATGGTTTTATTAAAACAAATATTTATACAAAAATAAACACAGGAAACAAATATGGCTATGTGCTCACACACATGCACTGTAAAATGGGAAAGGGAAGTTAGGCAAATATGTCACTGCACACATATACACACCCTCATATACATTGTCCCTTAAACGTCTAGTGGCTGCAGTATATGTCCATATCTGGACATGCCTCACAGGCCTGCACCGGATCCAGGCCTAGTTCCAGCTGGTTGTGTAAGCATGTACTGTATGTGTGCATGAGATACAAAGTAAGTGACTGACAATGTGGGGCAGAGTTTGCTGATGAAAACTGCTGAAATGTGTGGTTTTAGTCAATCTGCCTGAGATAAAGGCTGAGAGGTTGTGTGTTTGAGAGCCGCACTTCATACATTAGTGGCAGTGTTGTCAGTGTTTGCTCTGGATGTGGTTCAAAGCTGCGAGTCAGAAATGTGTCCACAAAACAAAGAAGTAAAGATGAGAAGAATTCAAAGATTAGAGATGGGGATAAGCCCAGATTTAATTACAACTTTTCGCTCCGTGTTCTTTTGATTAGATTGGCTATTTCCCTGTCTCCATGAAAAGCCAGTGTGTCCATCTCTTGACGTCTCTCTCTCTCTCAAGGTGATAAGTGAGCGGCACTAGACCACGTCTGGCAAATGTCCCAATATCCATTACAGTGATTACAGTGTTATAAAATAAACGAGTAAACATTACCCACCACTCACTGACGCAAACACCTGTACTCCAAACTCTCACTTATCAAGCACCCAGCGCCCATTACCCCATTACCCCACAAGAACAAATTTCAAAACTCATGCCCACGTGCCATTTATTACAGAGGACAAATAACAGCTCTGCAGCTCTGATTTACATTTCTGTCAAAAGAAATTCATGAAAAGAACTTCATTTACAAACTAGGAAAGATTACATTTACTTGCAATTCATGTACAGCAATTGTTATTTTATTTATTGCACTCATTTATTCGTGTCTTCAGCTCTAGTCATACAGTCTTTGACAGAGCAGCTCTCATTATCCTGACCAAACCTTCTGATACCTCACTCAAGATTTCCATTCGAAACACAGAATGATCTAAAATGGTATGACTCTAAGGCTTTGCTACATTGTTGAACAAAAATGTTATTCTTTGTCAAACAAGAGTAATCAGAATGTATTAATAAGATTTTTTAATGCTCAACCAGTTACGGTTGTAACTTCATAGATTTGCATAAAAATAAGTTATAACCAAACCAAAAGAAAGTAAGCGCTCTTTGCTGTTTAATGCATGGCATATCCAAAACCTGTACCTGTGACTAACTGTGTTTATCATCTCTGTCCACTAGGTGTCACTATAGCCATAGGAGATGGTGTTGAAATCAACGTGATGCCATGGACTACAGTCTACTCTGCAGACAGATAGCCGTTCAACTACCATCGCAGACATTTCAACAGTCAAACACTGTGCTGATTTGCAGTTTTCAGCCAAAAGACAGATGCAGCTTCTTGCAAGAATTTTTGATGAATATTTTCTAGCTTGTGAAAGGGAACATTAGTGTGTTCACAGGTGTAGTCACAGGAGAATTGAAAGCTATGATTAGTAGGGTTCAGGTACAGCCAGAGCAGTCAAGTAAATTCAAGTAGCAGCTAGGACACAGGAAATACTAGGAGACAGACAGAGACAGAAGGACCACCATGTGGCCAAGACCTTCAGTCACATGTGACCATGCAAACACTGTGAAGAGACTGTGTGCACCAAAATAAATGGGAGCAGCCCAAGTTAATTTATTTAAGTATATTATACATGAGCTTAAATAATGCCTTCTGTGCAAAAAGTTAGACTTGTCACTTGGTTTAAAACAGAAAAGAAAACATAACCGTGATTCACAAAAAGCTTCAGCCATGATGTCATCTGGTTGTCTATAGTGAAGCTTCAGCAATAATGGTGTCACAAGTGATGCTGGGTGTCATCCTCTCCCTCCTCATCCTTGTGACTGTCGGTGGTAATGTGCTAGTGTGCCTGGCTGTCTGTGCCTCTCGACGTCTTCGCTGCCTCACTAACTGCTTCATTGTGTCCCTGGCCGTGACAGACCTGCTGCTCGGCCTTTTGGTCCTCCCTTTCTCTGCCCTCCTCCAAATCAACGACGACTGGCCACTCGGCCCCGTCTTCTGCAACTTCTACATCTCCATGGATATCATGCTGTGCACCGCCTCCATCCTCACCCTCCTGACCATCAGTGTGGATCGCTACCTGGCAGTGACCATGCCTCTGAGATACACCTCACTGGTGTTGCCATGGAGAGTTGCTGTAGCCATGGCCAGTATCTGGATGGTGTCTGTGGCTGTGTCTTTCTTGCCCATCCAAATGGGGTGGAATACTGTTAATGGAACGGTGCAGAACCACGGGCCTTGGGCTCCAAAAAGGAAATGCCGTTTTGAGCTGAACAGACCATTTGTACTAACTGACTCAGTTCTTACTTTCTACTTGCCTCTGGTGACTATGTGCTGGACTTACCTACAAATTCTTCGCATTGCACGGGCACAGGCCAAGCGCATGATCAGTGCCCGGCCCACTTGTACCACCAACTATAATGGCAGGAACAATCCTTCCACTAGGACCTCTGTGGTTTCCAGTGTTACAGCAGTGGCTCTGCGGGAGCACAAAGCCACAGTCACACTGGCAGCAGTAATTGGGGCTTTTGTTGTGTGCTGGCTACCTTATTTCATCATGTTCACAGTGTTGGGCCTAAAGGAACATCCAGACCCTAGCACAGAGCCAGAATATCCCTATGTGTTATGGCTAGGATACACCAACTCAGCCCTCAACCCTGTCCTCTATGGAGCTCTCAACAGGGACTTCAGGTCAGCCTACACCCATCTACTGAGATGTCGATGCCCTACTTACAGCGGGTGGAGAAGCCGACAGCTGTCTCCCAATATAGCAGCAGGTAAAGCTACAAAAAGCTCTTAAAGTGTCTACATAACTTTGCACAATTCAAGTTCCACGGTTTTATTTATGAATGCATATTTCTGACCAAAAGAATGCTGAAACCAGTCTGAATAAATATGTTACATATGAGATATACATCTAAATGTTATATCTTAACCCAGCTTTCTCCTGTTTTTATTTTCCTTTTCCGTCTTCATATCTCAGCCAGAGAGCAGCTGACAGAAGTGACACTGCTCTGTGGCCACACCCCTGCCACCTGCAGAGCAGGTCAAACAGATCAAAACTTCACACTTGAAGAAATGAACAACAGGACAACACCACACACTATCCAATACACAAATGGCGGTGCTACCACTGATCTCGGTGACAATGAAAGGTAACCTCTTACTCAGTATATACCTTTTCTGTGAGGTGAATCTTAGCAGTCGAGGTCTTTCAGAGTATGACCCAAAAATCTGCTAATTTAATACAACTATACTGAAGTATCACTGCACACATTCTAACTCCATTTTACACACAAAATCTGATCAGTCACACAAAGACAAATGTGTCTTACTTTTCTACCATCCTCTTTCATTCCTATTTGTGAGCTCAGCTCATGCTAAGCCTGTGCAGGTGAGGTGGATGCTGTGTTCACTCTACTGTGGGTATAGCCAAGAATCAGAACTCATCCCGAGGAGAAAACAGGAGAAAAAACATGGACCAAGATTTGCATCCCCTTTATTTGGAAGCCTTCATTCCCACAGTCAAAGAATCAGTAATAAACAATGTAAGTACTGGTTAAACCGACATCTCTACGGCCCCCACAGACCAGTCAGTCTGGTCTACAGCAAATTACCAGTGACACATTGATCCCAGCTGCTTACCAGGCCATGTGCTTATTGGGGCAACCACTTCAGCAAATGTGTCTTTGCTTTCAGTGGCAATACATTATGCATACATTCGGCTCCCTTGCATTTTTGAATGTTGTGAACAGTGACAGCTAATTGGTTTGCTCATTATATGTGCATGTTTGTAAAATGGGCATCAATTAAAGCAGCAGAATAACATAATACTTTGATGACCCTAAAGCTGTAAAGGCTCTACGGCACTACAATGCGGTGCCATTTAGTGGTGACAAATCCAGCATGTGCTAACACACACAATGACTGTAAGTCCCATGTAAAATAACATTCTACTATGTAGTGTATTACAGTATTGTAGTACTTGAGTCCAGAACTCAGACTCAAGTCTGACTCAAGTTCAGATTTTCGGGACTTGTGACTCAACTTAGACTTGAGCATTGATGACTCAGACTCATTCAGATTAAAAAGTTGGAGATGAGCACTGACTTTATTATCATTATTATTATTTTGTAAAAGGCCATAACAAACTGGCCTAAGGTACTGATAATAAAACCTGTTCACCTGCACCATGCTGTATCCAGCACACTTCCTTCGAAGCCTACACTCTGTCTTTCTATAAGTGATTTTTATGTATCAAGTTGCTGAGCAATATGCTGATACAACAGACTGTTAGAAAGTTTGAAATATAAAATGGTGAGAGATGCGCCAACTGTGTTTAATTTAAACCTTGATGACTCTGAATCAGGTAACAGGGACTTGAGCCGGACTCTGGATTATTCTTTGGTGACTTGGACTTGACTCAGACTCGAGATTTAAACCCCACTACAACCCCGGTCGTATTGTGCATGTTTGTATTAATGGTGTTGCCAGATTTGCTGTCAGATTATTGTACTGAACTTTGACATCAATAAAGAATTTTAAAAGTCAACACATTAAAGGTGATCTGAAATTCATCATGCCAACTAACATAAGCATAGTCTAATGATCTGAGGAAAAGTGTATATGATATTTGTCCTATTTGATATGGTTAGATATAGTTTTAAAACTAATCGTGCCTAGCAATGAGATCCTGACAGCACTCCTAACATTACATTTTACATAAACTCTCATAAATTGGGGAAGGATTCCTCTGCAGCTAATACAATAATGAGTGGACAGTCATTTTATTAGCACAAAAGAAAGTGAATTGTAACCAGGAGAATTTATGTAATTGATTTATTACCATTGTTTTATTGCCTTCTGTAATAGTAGTTTCAGTCCTTCACATAATTGTGTTTACTGACAAAATTACTACAATTTTTGTGTTTTGCTGTTCAAACTACAACTGCACGTGGACATTAATGGGAATTCAATTTTTAATAATAGTAACATTACAGTGGTTTCTGGATACTGCAATATTCTTACACATTATGTACTTAACTCTTAACCTTTCTAAAACCACTTCCTACCTCATAAAAATGTATGCACTGCCCTGCATTAGAGAACCGGCTAATCTCTGTACCAAGATCCACACTCACCTCGATGATGAAATGAATGATTCTTTGTTCCCTGCAACAAAAACAAACTTTTGATTTTCTTCCTGTGTGTGTTTTCTGTGTTAGCATTCACTCAATCCATAATTTAAAATAAGACTTCAGTGGCTCCACACCTCATCAGCAAGAACCAACTACATGCACACAGCTGGCAATGCAACCAGGACTGAACGCAGATGGAGTTAAAACTTAAGCTGCCTAACACAGCTAGTCAACTGTGTCCAACTGTGTCCTGACCTGCTCTTATACTCACTGTGGTTAGTACTGAAGCTCTGAGCAACTGAATGAGATCAGCTATTAACCGGTTGTTCATCCCTCTCATGAATGACATCTTTTGATGCTAACTCAGGACTGCGCTCCAGAGGAAATATCACATATCACAACTTCAATAAAGGAAATTAACTTTAATTAAAAAAATGGACATTTCACAAAATCCGAGAAATGGAAGGGGAAATGGACCTAATGGATTAAAGCTCATCACTTTGTGTTCAGTGTGTTGAAATGTGGAACATTTAAATGTGAAGCGAGCACACTATTATGTGTCAGTTCTGAAAAACGCAGAATCTCCAGACTTTGTCATGATCGCTGCTCATTTATAGTTTGTTGTATCATACTATATAAATAACCCAGGACTGAAAATTGCATTAAATGTTCCTCTAAAACAGAAAATTACAACCATACTGTAGTACCGCTTTTAGAGGCAATACAGATCAGCAGTAGTTATGTGTGGAAAGGAAATATCATGTGGGATGATACACATAACACTGTATAGGTGGTGCAGAAAACAGGTACATTGGAAACAATTTATCACAGTTGTCAACACAGCTTCCCTCAAACTACTATCACATTAACACTTAACCTTCTCCATGCGTCAAGCCATGTCCACTGAGGACTGACACATAAGTGTATATAGTATACGTATATGAATGTCAGGTACAAGCTGGAAACGTGATGGAGAGAATTTTACTAGCTACATGGAAACACTTATTTGGTATTTATATCAACTCTACAGTATATATTTCTTAAACCAGATTTGCTGAGAATGGATGCACCAGTGTAGGAATGCTTTGTTCCACATTAAGGCAAGCACATACATTCACAATAATAGCCTTATCTGATGACCAGTGAGAAGCTCCACTGGAGCCGCTGGGTTTAAAATACATACTTGAACAAAAATCTGAATCTAACTATGTTAATCCTCACATTGCTATCTGTGCTCTAATCATGCCTCTTGGAGTAACACTTTTTTTAGCATGACTACACTGTAAAATACCAGCTGCGGGCCGTGCATTTGGTACCTGGGCCTTGACTTACCCGACTTAATTCACCTCTTAATACCACCACTATCACGTCGCAATTATAAAAACCATCAGTACTATACAAAAACGCAATATAACAAAACCTGGCATTACAGAGAGGCATTTTGCGTATTGAGGGTGAATACTATTTTTACTAAGGCAAGAAACCCAGTCAAGACAACTCTAAAACCTCTACACTACAACCGCAACTTTGCCACGTACGTCGTCGGGAGCAGTTCAGAATCAGTATTTATCTAATAGCATGACAAAAACATTAAAATTTTAAATAAAGTACATCATACTCACCAGAGATGCTATTTATTTAAGGACAAAATCCATCCTCCTTTCTTTGCACAGGAAGACTTCAATGACTGTCATAGAGGTGATCTCTGCATTTCAGTTCCATCAGTAAGTCCTTTTCTATACCCATGGAAGTGGCGAACAAACCCTTTCCTGGGCTGAGACAGGCTAGCTAGCTAGCTTTGGAGTTGGCCAACCTCTCCTCACGAGCTTTTCTGGAAAAGTCCACCTTGAAAATGGATTTTTAAGCATGTCCGAGACCAAGTCAAGTTCTCCTCCTCCGTCAGCCATTCTGGGGTGGGGGTTTAAAAAAAATTCTAACTCGAACGTATTAATATGTGTAGATCGCTATAGATGTGTTTTGCTAGTCGAATTTGGCTGTAACGGTTTTGCTCTGGCCAACCAATCATAGGACGGAAAAATGCTAACGTCATTGTGAGCCAGCTAGCTGGCCCTGTGAGTCGAATTTGAAATCTGATTGGTTAAAGAAACAGTCCCATTGCTAACATAGTTTAAATTACATCGGCCAGCACTACGGATTCCGAAGGCAGATTAGATTGACATGGCAGCACATAGAGGCTGAAATCTGATTGGTTAAAGAAACAGTCCCATTGCTAACATAGTAGGGGTTATGCGCAACTTACTTCGGTATACTGCAAAACAGAATCATGGGGGGGCGTTCCAAGATGGCAGCCTGAAAGGACGCACATTGCTGAGCTCCTGCACCAAAGCTTCTATTTTGCTCGGGAAACTGTCGCTATACATTTAACGGTCAACAAATAGACTCGACTCGGTGCCTATTAGACCAATACACATCCAATGATGTCCCGCGAGAGGAAAAGGAACTCCAAAGAGTTAATAACAGCACCGCAAACTAACCCTCTGATAGCATGTCATGACTATGTTAGCTTACCTGCTACCACTCTGTCTGTAGCGATGGCGACCGAAGACTTTCCACCACTTCCCTCGTCTACGGCAACTACTCCTAGTAAGTCTCCTATTTCCAAAAAAGCACTTTTTGACTCCGACAACAAGGACAAAACGGTAGACGCGACCAAAGAAATCATTGGAACTCTGTCACAACTAATCAATACGCGTTCGGAGGAAATCAAAGCGATGGTGAATGAAAACTCAATGAAGATTGAAGGCCTGAAAAAGTCAGTGGACTTCGCCTTTCAAGAGATACAAGACATCAAAGGACGAATGAACAAAGTTGAAGATTGCCACAAAAAAGATCAGTCTCTGTTATCAGAGATTCAAAAAAGAGTCGAAGAAAATGAAAGATACTCCAGAAGGTGGAACCTGAAGCTGCATGGTGTCCCTGAAACTGTGTCCAAGGAAAAGATCAAAGATGAAACTATCAAAATTTGTCAAGCAATTTTACCAGAAAAGAAAAGCAGCTTACCTGATGTAATTGACACTGCACATCGTGTTGGGAAAAAGCCAGAGAATAGCTCCAAACCAAGAGGAATTATTCTTCAGTTCACCTCGAGATCAACCAGGGATGCCGTGTGGAAAGCTGCTAAAAACCACCCTTTTCTTCAGGAGCATCATCTTCGCCTCCGGCCCTGACAGCCCACCGCTGCAAAATACACAGTCCTCATTCAGTCAAAGACAATTAGGTCAAGCACCAAACCATTGAAGGCAAATGGTTATACAATTAGGTTTGTCAAAAATGGCTCTGCTCTTTAAGGGAGTTTTCAGATGTTCCAAGCAGCCATGAGGGTTTTTCAGAAAGCGCTACTCCCCTGAGAACATAACCGTAGAGAATCAAAGACATACACTGTAAGCATACAATGATCAGCCATAATATTATGACCACCTGCATAATACTGTGTAGGTCCTCCTTTTTAGTTCAATTCAATTTTATTTGTATAGTGCTAAATCACAACAAAAGTCACCAAAAGAGCTCAGACCCATCAAGGCATGAACTCCACGGACATCCAAAGGTGTCCTCTGGTATCTGGCACCAAGACATCAGCAGCATATTTTTTTAAGTCCTGTAAGTTGCGAGGTGGGGCCCCCATGGGTCAGATTTGTTTGTCCACTACATCCCACGGATGTTGAACTTGCACTGAGATCTGGGGAATTTGGAGGCCAAGTAAACATCTTCAGCTGCGACTTGTCATGTTACGCAAACCATCCTAAACCATTTTTGCAGTGTGGCAGGGGGTGTTCCTGCTGAAAGAGGCCGCTGCCATTAGGGAATACACTTTCCACAAAGGGGTGTACTTGGTCTGCAACAACATTTAGGTAGGTGGCATGTGTCAAAGTAACATTCACATGAATGGTAAAACCCAAGGTTTCCCAGCAGAACATCGCCAAAAGCATCCCACTGACTCTGGCGACTTGCCTTCTACCCATAGAGCATCTTGGTGCCATCTTTTCTCCAGGCAAGTGATGCACACACAATCGGTCGTCCATATGATGTAAAAGAAAATGTGATTCATCAGACCAGGCCACCTTGGTCCTGTTCTCAGATCCTTACATTTGCCCATTTTTCCTGCTTCCAACACATCAACTTCAAGCACTGAATGATCATTTGCTGCCTAATATACCCCCCACACTCACAGGTGCCATTGTAATGAGATAGTCAGTGTTATTCACTTCACTTGTCAGTGGTCATAGTGTTATGGCTGATCAGTGCACACTTGCATAAGTGCTTAGCAAAACAATAGTAATATCAAACCCTAAAACACACAGGAAAAAGCAATGAAGCTGTGGCACCTGTAGGAACATGACTGGATGTTACTCAGCAGCCAGTAGCCGAACATGCGATGTTCCCGTACGCCAGTGATTAGGGACAGCTGAAGCCAAACATCTGATGTGAGTGCATTTAACTGTGTTGGGGTCTCAGAAAAATACAGGTGTGACAACCAGGACCTATGTTTTTTTTAATCCAGCACTGGGAATAAGAGACCCAGAGACTACTACCAAGCCAAAGACTGGAAAAAGGTACAGTTACTTGATGCTCAATGAAACAGCCATGCACAAAATGACTAAAAGTTTTTTATGCTTGTGAGTGATCGAAATGTATCAATTAACAGCAGTTAGCAGGGATTTTAAAAAGTCTGACTCACAGTGTGAAGAAAAAATAGCAGCTGCAGTAAATATTTCATTTAGGGTTTTCATGGCTGAAAACTAGAGCATTTAACAACTGTCCTCTCTAACTGAAAGACATTTATTATGTTTTCATTTCCCTTAGTCCCTCTATTCCTATATAAACATCATGTGTCCCTTGGTAATTTTGGTCACTCAATACACTCTCCCTCCCTCTCTTTTTCAGAGTGACCATTGACAGCTCAAACTACATGAAACCCATTCATCATTGCTTCTTTAACATCAGATGAATGTGGGAAAAACAGAACATATAAA